GTTCATAGGATGTTACTAATGCTCTCTTAATCTTTTACTTTTCCTCTTGCCTTCCTTGCCCTCTTTTTTCTCTTTTTAAGAGATTACGTGTAAACCACCTAAAAAAATAGAAAATGGAAAATACACCAAAAGTGACAAGGATTCATTTGAGTATAAGGAAGAAGTTACTTATACTTGTGATACTACGAATAATACAGATGAATTTACACTGATTGGGGAGCCCAAGCTTGTTTGTACTGGGCATAACAAATGGAGTAGTGACCCTCCTGAGTGTAAAGGTAATAATATTTCCATTTCTTTCCCTCTCATTTGTAAATAGCATGGAAACTTGTACCAACTTTTAAATACTTTGGCCAAGAAGTAAAAAACAGTAACAACAGCCATGTGTGCATCTTCCCCCAGGTAAATTTGTTTCTAATTTTATATGTGTCAAATAGAATAAAAAGTAATTCCACTTTAGTTTTCCACTCTTTACTACACATGTTCTTGGCATTCCTGTTTATGCCATGTTAATTACTACGTATGTGCATGAATTAAATTTTCTTGGCTTGAAAGCATCAAAAAACACACACTGGCTTTAAGAAAGTTTCACCTTATAATACAAGAAGTATGACAGTTCTGTCTCGCTAGAGGAAATGGTAGAATAAATTGTAAAAGACTTACCATCTCACGAATAAGATTGATAAACTGTGGACATAGCATACGGGCATGTCTTATTTAATTGTGCTTCGCTTTACTGCACTTCACACATACTGCATTTTTTGCCAATTGAAGTCTATACCTTAACCAGCAAAGCAACTATAACTTGCTTTACTTCTATACTCATTTATTGCTGTAGCCTGAAACAAACCTGCAATAGCTCAGAGGTTTACCTATGCTTAAAAAACAATACNCATTAAAAAATACACACTGGCTTTAAGAAAGTTTCACCTTATAATACAAGAAGTATGACAGTTCTGTCTCGCTAGAGGAAATGGTAGAATAAATTGTAAAAGACTTACCATCTCACGAATAAGATTGATAAACTGTGGACATAGCATACGGGCATGTCTTATTTAATTGTGCTTCGCTTTACTGCACTTCACACATACTGCATTTTTTGCCAATTGAAGTCTATACCTTAACCAGCAAAGCAACTATAACTTGCTTTACTTCTATACTCATTTATTGCTGTAGCCTGAAACAAACCTGCAATAGCTCAGAGGTTTACCTATGCTTAAAAAACAATACCTAAGGCATCTGAGCATGACCAAAAGTGGGGAGACAATGGAAGGTATTTGACTGTTGAACAAAAAGAACTACTGAAAAACATCAAAATATTTCCTCTTTTCAGGTGCATATGTAACAATCTTTAGGCAATATGTTTAACATTTTTTTGTTTTCAAAAGTGAAATTATTTACAGTACATTAACAATGCAATGTATTTAGAAATCAAAACAAAGATATCTAGAAAATCCTCAAATATTTAAAAGTTATGAATATACTTCTAACTAAACCATAAATAAAAGGAGGAGTCACAAGGGAATTTGGAACGTGTTTTGAATTGAATTTTTAAAAAACCACAACATATTGAAATATCAAAATTTGTGGAATACAGTAAAAGTTTTGCTTAGAAGGATATTCATAGCATGAAATACGTATATTAGGACAAGAGAAAAGTTTCCGATCAAGAATGTAAGCTTTCACTTTAAGGAACTAGAAAGGAAGAGCAAGTTGACTACAGAACAAAGAAAGAGAAAGAAATAATAAAGACAGAAAACAATAAAATTGGAAAAAATGTAGATAGAATCATTGAAACCAACACCTGGTTCTTGGAGAAGATCAATAAAATGGATAAACCTATGGCCAGTCTGACAAAAAAAGTAGAAGATACAAATTACCAGTATCAAGAATGAAAAAGAGAACATCGCTAAATATCCTACAGACATTTCAAGGACAATAAGGAATAGCATGTACACCTTCATGTCAACAAATGTGATACCTAAATGTTCTCACAAAGGGAACTGCAGGCCCCATGTCATCACCAGGAATTGTCCCTGATGTTAAAGGAATAAACAATAGCAGCTCTGGACAAACTTCAGTACAGTAGGAGGGAATACTTCTCCCCTCATCTCATGAGGACAGCATTACCCTGACACCAAAATCAGACAAAACACTGCAGGGAAATTAAAAACAATATCCACTATAAACATAAAACCAAAACTGTCAGCGATGGTCAAGGTTGTCTCTGGCAGGAGATAGCCTGTGGCCAGAGACAGTGCTCTGTGCCCCCAGTTCTTGTCTTGCTTGTAGGGATGAATTCAAACAGGAGACAACGAATAGTAGCAAAAGCAGGAGAGAATTTATTTGCAGAAAAAGGAATAAACTTGGAACCTAAGCAGGCAATTTAGCCAGCCTAAATCAAACCATGTGACTGGATATTTCAGGGTTCAACACATGTATGTCCCTTGCCTGGGACACCCCCTAGACAAGGAGCAAGTCATCTCCTCCCTCATGATTCAAAAAAGTGTATCTTCAAACTATAAGGCTTCTTCAACCAGGTGTTATGCCACTGGTTAGACTACATCTTGAGAGGATCTAAATTTTCTCTCCTCACACAGGTCTGCTGCTTCCATTGTCTATTTTTGGTTTGTCACATCTTGGGTGGATCCCCTCCAAGCCCCAACTGCCTTTCCCGGCTTATCTCATTCTAGCTGCCCACTCTAACAAAACTATTAAGCAAAACATTAACAAATAAAATCCTGTCATACTATAAAAATAAGAATACTGTCCTTTTTTAAAAAATATATCTTTATTGATTTCAGAGAGAGGAAGGGAGAGGGAGAGAGATAGAAACATCAATGATGAGAGAGTTATTGATAAGCCTGCAACCGGGCAGGTGCCCTGACCGGGAATTGAACCCCAATCGCCTGGATCCTAGGTAGACGCTCAACTGCTGAGCCACACCCAGCCGGGCGAATACTATATCTTAATCAAGTAGGATATTTTTCACAATGCAAGGTGGTTTCATTTCATTTCATTTTATTTTATTTATTTTATCTTTATTGTGGAAAATATTTCAGATGTCCCCTTTTTACCCATTAACCCCTTCTACCCCCACCGACTCCCCACCCCAGGCCTTTACCCCACTATTGTCTGTGTCCATGGGTTATGTATATATGCATATAAATTCTTTGATTCATCTCTCCCCACCTACCCACCCACAACCCCCCACCTTTCCTCTGAGATTCATCAGTCTGTTCCATACTTCTATGTCACTGAATCTATTTTGTTAAAAAATTAATCAATGTAATTTACCATATGAACGGACTATAAAGAAGAAAAAACACATGATCATCTCAATAGATGCCAAAAACAATGCATTTGACTGAAAACTTAGCAAACAAGGAATAGACGGAACCTATTTCCACCTGATAAAAGGTACCTACAAGAATCACATAGCTAACATTATACTTAATGATAAAATATTTATTTCCATTGAGGTAGCAATGAGACAAGGATGTCTGTTCCTCCCACTCTATTCTTCATCATATTGAAGGTCCTATTCAGTACAATAAGGCAAAATATAGAAGTAGGCATACGGGAAAGGAAGAAATAAAATGGACTTTGTTCAATTAAGACATGATTGTCTGTGTAGAAAATATGAAAGACTGAAGTCTTACCAAGGTTGCAAGACACAAGCTCAATGTACAGGAATCAATGTTATGTCTATATACTAGCAATAAACAATTAGAAATTTAAATTTTCAAAGTACTGTTTACAATTCCAAACTACGCAAATATTTGAAAATGAATCTAACAACATGTGCAATAATTGCATGGTTAAAGTAACTAAACACTTTTAAGAAATTAAAGGCAGTAATAAGTAGGGAGAAGTTCATTGTTCATGGATTTCAAGACTCAATATAATGAAGATTTCAACTCTCTATAACTGATATATAAATTGAGTATAATGCCAATAAAAATTCTCCAGAACTTTTACAGAAATTGACAGGTTGAATCTAAAGTGTATATGGAAAGACAAAAGAATAACAATAGTCAAAATAATTTTGAAAAAAATTAGAGGACTCATTCAATCCTGTGTCAAGACTTAATAGAAAACATACTATAAAATGTATAACCAAGACAGTGATATTGGTAAAAGGACGGCCAAAGACAACAATGGAAAAAAATAAAGGGTCTAGGATACAGCCTTTCAAATGTGTCCAATTGATTTTATCACACATGTACAAACAATTCAGTGGGAAATGGTAAAAGTACAGGCACAAGTGAACATCCATATGCCATAAAAGGGAACCACAACCCACGTTAGTACCATATTCAAACATTTACTAAAGTCATATCTTAGACTTAAATTCAAAATTATAACACCTTTACTTAAAAATATAGAACATACTCATGGCTTGGCCAAAGATTTCTTAAATACAAAAGCATGGTCCTTTAAAGAAAAAATTTAATAATTTTGACTTCTTAAAAACTCAGAGCTTCTGCTTTCAAAAGACATGGTTATAGGAATTTTAAAAAATGAGCCAAAGCCTTGGCCAGTGTGGCTCTGCTGTTTGGAGCATCATCTCATGCACTGAAGGGTCGAGGGTTCTCTTCCCAGTCAGGGCACATGCCTAGGTTGCTGGTTTGATACCCTGTCATGGTGAATATGGGAGGCAACCAATAGATGTTTGTCTCTCTCTCTCTCTGCTCCCCTTCCCTCCCTCCCTCCCTCCCTCTCTAAAATCAATAAAAACATATGCTCAGGTAAAGATATTTTAAGTGAGTCAAAGACTAGGAGAAAATATTTCCAAAGCACATATCTGATAATGGACTTGCATCTAAGATATATAAAGAACTCTCAAAACATAATTAGAAAATAACCCAATTTTAGAAAAATGGGCAAAAGATTTGAATAGATCTATTTCATCCAAGTAAATATATGGATGGCAAAATGTACATGAAAAGTTGCTCTATGTGGTTAATAAATTCAGAAATATAATTTAAAACTACAATGACATGCCCAGCCAGAATGGCTCACTTGTTTGAGCATCATCGTGTGCTCCAAAATGTTGCTGGTTTGATTCCTGGTCAGGACACATACCTGGGTTTTGGGTTTGATTCCCATTTGGAGCACATATGGAAGGCAACTGATCAATGTTTCTCTCTCACATTGATGTTTCTCTTCCCTCTCCCCCTTTCTTCCTCCCTCTCTCTAAGCATGTCCTCAGGTGAGGATTAAAAAAAAAAAAAAAAGAAAAAAAGAAAAACCACAGTAAGATGCCACTAAACACCTACTAAAATGGCGGAGAATAAAAACAAGAAAAAAACTTAACAGTATCATATATACTGGCGAGGATATGGAGCAATGGAAACTCTCATATATAGCCGTTAAGAATGCAAAGTGGTATGTCCATTTTTGAGCACTGTTTGGCAGTTTCTTATAACGTTAAACATATACCTTCCATACAAATCAGCAATCCAAGGAAATTAGAACATCTTCATATAGAAACCTATTTGAGAATATTCATAACAGCCTTAGTTATAATCACCCACATTAGAAATATCCACTTATTTTTAAGATGTTGAATGACTGAACAACCATGGTACATCCATATAATGGGATAACTCACCTCAGTAAAAGGAATAAGCTTCTAATCCACACGATGACAGAAATGAATATCAAATGCATTGTGCTAAGTGAAATAAGCCATACTCAGAAGCTGTGATCCCATTATCACTCTCTGGGAAAGAAACACTGCAGTGATTCAGAACAGATCAATGGTTGGCTAGTTGGGGAAGGCGGTCGGAGGTGTTGTGGGGAAAGTTGATTACAAAGTGGCATGAGGAAATGTTGGAGAATACTGCAACTCTTCTATGTCTACAGTGGTGGTAATTACATGATTAGTGTTTACATTTATTGAACCACATACAAGATCTACACTTAAAATGGTGAGTTTTACTCTATGTAAATTATATCCAGTAGACCTAACTTAAAATCATGACTGTAACAGCAGTTTTGCACAACATAGATCACTAAACCTGAAGTCAAAACAATAGAAACCCAACATGATTTGAAATAAGAAAAAAAAATTTTAAGAGAGAAAAATGTACAACCTGGGGAAGAGCAGCAAGCAGTCAAATATGCATGTTAACAGTTTCAGAAAGCGAGCAGAAACAACAATATAGATTGATATGAACAAATAATGTCCAAAAAGTATCCACATTTGACCCAAAACGACGACCCACAAGTCCAGGAAATTCAGTGACCATAGTAGGATAAATAAATTGTTAAAAATTTACCAGGAAACCCCCATTAAACCAAATACATCATGGTTAAATTTCTCAAGACAAAAGATAAAAAGAAAAGCAGCCAGTGAGACAAAAGGAACATGTTACATTGCCCCACCACTATAAGTAGGAATGACAGCTGACTTCTTTTAAGGAACTGTAGAGACAAGAAGACAATAATATCAGATAATGTACTGAAAGAAAAATAAAACAGGCTGCAGAAATCTGTCAAGGAGAAATCTTTTAAAACTGAAGGTAAAATTTTTTAAAAAGAAAAAGAGTGTAAGCCCTGGCTGGTGTTGCTCAGTTGGTTTGAATGTTGTCCCACACACCAGATGGTGGCTGGTTGGATTCCTGGTCAGGGAACATACCCAGGTTGTGGGTTTAATCCCCTGTTGAGGCTGGTAGGAGAGGCAACCTATCACTGTTTCTCTATCACATTGATGTTTCTTTCTCTCTCTCTCCCACTTTCTCTGAAATCAATAAAAACAAGTCCTCAGGTGAGAATTAAAAATATATATATATTGACATAAAAGCTAAGAATTGTCACTGCTCTACATGCAACACAAGAATTGCTAAAGAAAGTTCTTCAGGCTGAAGGGAAAAGATACCTGATGGAAAGTCAGGTCATATGCAAAGAGGAAGAGTACTCTTCTGCTTTAAAAGGCTGTGCATTATGAACCCTATGTAGTGTTCAGATTTAATCTTATAAGATGTTCCCTTGCAAATACTGCCCAGCCCAGTGTTTTGTTTGCTTGTTTGTGATTTTTTCCAAATTCTGCCAAACCCACTGCTGGATCCTGAAATCAGGCTAGAGGGTCGTGCCCAGCACTTTACTTTCAAAGAAGTAGAAGAGAATGGGAAATACCTGAGTACATGGGTACAAAGGCTAATTATTAAGTTTTAACTTTATCTCAGGCCTGTGAGATTACAATATAAAATGTGGGTTTTGATCTCTGAGTTCTAATCCAAAATATTTGGAAAACACAGCCCTACCTCCCCTGGCCTTTCTATTTCTCGCACATCCCAGTTCTCGTATGTTGCTGATACCTGCTGACTTTCTCTCTGCATATGTTTACATGGCTAGCTTCTTTTCAACTTTACATTTGAGCTCAAGTATTACCTTAATACAAGAGGCTTTCCTGTCTTTCTAAAAGATCAGGGTACTAATCAGTGTCAGCATGAAATTTTAAAAAATTCCTAGAGCTAAAGAGCATCAAAAGTTGCTTTTGAACTTACCTGAAAATTGTATGTGGTAGTCAGACCTTTATCAAAACCTGTCAGTAATGGGAAAACATATAGGAAACCAGTAATCAGAATGACACTCTGTTTGAGACCCCAGAAATAGACCAATGCCATTATGGTCAGTTAATATTTTACAGAGGAGGCAAGAGCATACAATGGAGTAAAAGCAGTCTCTTCAATAAGCGGTGCTGGGAAAACTGGACAGATACATGCAAAAAAAATTAAACTAGACCATCAACTTTTACCGTTCACAAAAATAAACTCAAAATGGATAAAAGACTCAAATGTAAGTCGCAAAACCATAAAACTCCTGGAAGAAAACATAGGCAGTAAAGTCACAGACATCCCACATAGTGGAATTTTCACTGATACATCTCCTAGGGCAAGAGAAACAAAAGAAAAAATAAACATATGGGACTCCATCCAACTAAAAAGCTTTTGCACAGCAAAAGAAAACAGCCTCAAAATACAAAAGAACTCCACGGTCTGGGAAAACATATTTGCCAAGGATGTATCTGATAAGGGGCTAATTTCCAAAGTGTACCAAGAACTCATACGACTCAGCAAGAGGAAGAGAAACAACCCAATTAAGAAATGGGCAAAGGACCCGAATAGACACTTCTCCAAAGACGACATACAGATGGCCAAGAGACACATGAGAAAATGCTCAACGTCACTAATCATGAGAAAGATGCAAATTAAGTCCACAGTGAGGTTTCACTTCACACCTGTAAGAATGGCTCCCATCAAGAAATCAACAAACAACTCCTGCTGGCGAGGGTGTGGAGAAAGGGGAGCCCTAGTACACTGCTGGTGGGAATGCAGACTGGTACAGCCACTATGGAAAACAGTATAGAGGATTCTCAAAAAATTAAAAATGGAGCTGCCATTTGACTCAGTGATCCCATTTCTANAACAAACAGGCTGCAGAAATCTGTCAAGGAGAAATCTTTTAAAACTGAAGGTAAAATTTTTAAAAAAGAAAAAGAGTTTAAGCCCTGGCTGGTGTTGCTCAGTTGGTTTGAATGTCGTCCCACACACCAGATGGTGGCTGGTTGGATTCCTGGTCAGGGAGCATACCCAGGTTGTGGGTTCAGTCCCCTATTGAGGCGGATAGGAGAGGCAACCTATCACTGTTTTTCTATCACATTGATGTTTCTTTCTCTCTCTCTCTCTCCCTTCCACTTTCTCTGAAATCAATAAAAACAAGTCCTCAGGTGAGAATTAAAAATATATATATTTTGACATAAAAGCTAAGAATTGTCACTGCTCTACGTGCAACACAAGAATTGCTAAAGAAAGTTCTTCAGGCTGAAGGGAAAAGATACCTGATGGAAAGCCAGGTCATATGCATTTAAAAGGCTGTGCATTATGAACCCTATGTAGTGTTCAGATTTAATCTTATAAGATGTTCCCTTGTAAATACTGCGCAGCCCAGTGTTTTGTTTGCTTGTTTGTGATTTTTTCCAAATTCTGCCAAACCCACTGCTGGATCCTGAAATCAGGCTAGAGGGTCGTGCCCAGCACTTTACTTTCTAAGAAGCAGAAGAGAATGGGAAATACCTGAGTACATGGGTACAAAGGCTAATTATTAAGTTTTAACTTTATCTCAGGCCTGTGAGATTACAATACAAAATGTGGGTTTTGATCTCTGAGTTCTAATCCAAAATATTTGGAAAACACAGCCCTGCCTCCCCTGGCCTTTCTATGTCTCGCACATCCCAGTTCTCGTATGTTGCTGATACCTGCTGACTTTCTCTCTGCATATGTTTACATGGCTAGCTTCTTTTCAACTTTTTACATTTGAGCTCAAGTATTACCTTAATACAAGAGGCTTTCCTGTCTTTCTAAAAGAAAGACAGCATGAAATCAGTGTCAGCATGAAATTTTAAAAAATTCCTAGAGCTAAAGAGCATCAAAAGTTGCTTTTGAACTTACCTGAAAATTGTATGTGGTAGTCAGACCTTTTTCAAAACTTGTCAGTAATGGGAAAACATACAGGAAACCAATCATCTATAATGACAGTCTGTTCTAGGTGGGAAAAGGTTATTAGATGTCTCTATATCTGTTTACTGGAATTAAAATGCACAAAATATTTTTTAAAAATTATCATTCTACCTTCCATTCCTTGCCTCTTTGTTCCCAAGGGAAATTGCTAATTTGTACTAGTTTTTCTTTCCTATATTAAAACAGCTTTCCATTAATTCTTGAACTTTTTCACTTTTCAGTGGTCAAATGTGAATATCCAGTAGTCCAGAATGGGCAAATTGTGTCAGGAATCCAAAAAAAATTTCTGTACAAAGCAGCGGTTACATTTGAATGCAACAAGGGATTTTACCTTGAAGGCAGCAGCACTATTGTCTGTGGAGCTAACAGTGCTTGGGAGCCTAAGATGCCAAAATGTATTAAAGGTACAAAGGGTGTCTTTTTTGTTTAGATTTTATTGCTTTGACATTAAATATCGATGATATGGAGTAATTGAAAAGAAACAGTTTTTGTAATTAACTCGGTGTTCTATTCCTTTCCATGACGAATGTACGACATAAAATTTATGTTTTCATAGGGTCCTAACACATTATGTACATCACACAGGTGTCTAAATTTCTGGTTTGGGGCATTTCTTATGTGTAAAAACGTATAGCCATCATTTTTCAGAGAAAATTGAAGCATGGGAATTTTTACCTAAAAAATTCAAGATCCAAAGGCATAATTCATATGAATGATAAAAAGTAATAATTACCAGGTGGTTGATCCTGTCTTTGTTATATTTTTTCAGGGTCAACACCTCTCAGTACTAAATCTACAATTTCCAGTGTCTCAGGTTTGGTAACTTTCTGCTTTTGTTTTTCAAAATTCTTTAAATGCGTGGTGATTTTTTAAAAGTCCTTTAAATATCTGGTCATTTACACTCATCCATCCTTTTCAGTAAAGAAAGGAGGAAGAACATATTTACCGCCATCCTAGTTATTACACCTAGTGATTCTAAAGCCATTTGCCACAGTCTGCAGACATTGGAACAAATGTGGGCGTGTTATGGAAGCCTCAAAAGTGTTTACTAATACATAAAAAGATTGAATGCCTTCCTCACTGGTTGACAGGAAGGTTAAAGTGGGATGTATTTAAAGCAGCACAATGCCCGGCATATAGGAGCTCTTAAAGGAAGCTTATTTTTGACTTACAGCATCACTCCAATTAGTGTTAGTGAAAAGGAAGGTCCATGGCTTTTTTCTTAATACGTATGTTTTCTATGTCATCAACTTTGCTATTTTGTTATTTTTTTAAACGATCTGTTGACGCCTTTACAGGGTATCTTTGTGATCCAGGTTGATGCTTTATTTCCTAGACTGCAGCCGGTTTTGTGCTTTTCGTGTGGTACCATTTAAACTGGCAAATTGCTGCTGTCTCTAGGACAAGACCCCCACCTCTCCCTGCCTCATATAATCATTCTTTTTCTCTTTACTGGGCATTTTTACTTGGCAATAGAGGTAAATTTCATAGCAACTGAAAGTCAGGAAAAGTCCTTAATTATTGAAATGAAATGGAGGACTTCTTGCACGGACTGCTGATAACTGCTCGGCTTAAGATTTGGGAGATTATTTTGATATGATGGAAGAAATTGTCTTTCTGATTTTAGTGCTTTTATCTCTGGCTTCTCTTTGTTTTCAGCATAAACAGGAGACAAGAGCAATACAGTAGTCACCACTTATCAGCGGTTTCACTTTCCGAGGTCTCAGTGACCCACAACCATGGCCTGAAAATACTAGGTAGAAATTTCAGGAACAAGTAATTAATAAGCTTTAGTCCCCTGCCATTCTGACTAGCAGCTGAAATGGCACCCTGTCCCGCCACTGTCCACAGGCTGAGACTCATCCCTGGTGGGCGCGTTCCCCACACTTCTCCACGCGGGCACCGCAGCCGCTCACACCAGCCCCAGGAGAAGGGGTAGCGCAGCGCAATCGGATGTTCTGAGAGGGAGGGGCCACATGCACATTGCTTTTGTTACAGGATATCGTTATAACTGTTCCATTTTGTTAGTAGTTGTTCACCTCTTACCTTGCCTATTTAGAAATTAAATTTATTATAGCTACATATGTACACTAACAACATGGTATAAATAGAGTTCAGCACTCCCCAGGTTTCCAGGCGTTGGGGGGTCTTGGAATGTATCCCATGTAGGCCAGAGGGGACTGCTATAGTGCGAAGACCTTCAGCCTGGGCCCACCTCACACAAGGTACTAACTTGGCTCTACTTATTCCAATAACATCGTTTCTGTGGGCGTGGTTTCCTGTTAAAGGTAAGAGTGTTGAACTCAAGCAAATTTCAGTTACTGGCTTCTAATGTCTATATTTCCTGTTGTCCTAATAGTTTAAAGGATTGTGGGGAATTATGTATGTTGACATAATTAGAACACCTTTTTATAATTCTTCTATCTGGAACCTGGTAGCTCCTTGAGTACCTTGGTTGAGTGCTATGAGGTTTTGAGGGAATGAGATGGTTTTTGGTGGACTGATACGTTAAGGTTGGGTGTGAAGTTTATGCTCATGAGCCCACCCACGTTTACTTACATGGCCCTGGTGGGTAAGCGACTGTGGGATACTATGTTTTTTGATATGCTCTTTTAAAAGTGCTGACCATGAGAATTCATCGAGGATTTATTAAATACATACTGTTCAGTGTTTCAGAGAAGAGAGGATTGTGGAGAAATGTTTATAAAGAAGGTAAACTACAGGGATCTCTTCTTAAATATCAAAAATCAAAATTCCTCATGGGACTGTCAGAAAACTATACAAAAACAATCAGTAGCAACATATGATGATGATAAGGGAGATATTATTGTTCTAATTTGAAAAACTATCTGTGAGCTACTAAGTGAGAAGCAAAAGGATAAGAATTGTGTGGTATGATAGTAATTGGAGGGTAATATTTTAAAGATACATATGCTTATTTGGAATACATTATTTTTATGATTTTTTATTAGTTACTTTCTAGGATATCCATTCTAAAATACAAAGCTATAGTGAACATTCTTATACAAAATTCATATGTACTTGCGTAGAGATACATTTAGGCAACTTCCCAGAAGTAAAATTGCAAAGTTAGGAAAGTATGCGTAGTTTTCATTTAGAGAAATCATCTTTTTTAAAAAAAAAAATCAAGCCCGGCCAGGCGTGACTCAGCAGTTAAGCGTCGACCTAGGATCCAGGCGATCAGGGTTCGATTCCCGGTCAGGGCACGTGCCCGGGTTGCGGGCTGCAGCCGATCAATGACTCTCTCATCATTGATGTTTCTATCTCTCTCTCCCTCTCCTTTCCTCTAAGATATATTTAAAAAAAAAAAAAAATTAAAAAAAAAAAATCTAGAATCAAATTAAATCCCTAATTTTATATAGATAAAGCTGGTGAATGGAATCAAATTTATTTTTCCAGAAATCACGACTACTACTCCTGCGCCTACTACTGTGACTACACCTGGAAATACTACTACTACTACTACTACTACTACTACTACTACTATTGTGACTACTCAGGTTCAAACCACACGTGCACAAGTAACACAAGGTTCGGTAACTCTTTTCCCTACTTACATAAATAAGAACTTCATAAGGTGATGCATAAAAAATAATGTTATGTATTAATTTGCATTTCTTTGATTATAAACAAAGCTGAGCTTCTTTTGGGCCACATTTATATATTCATATTCTTTGCTCATATTTCTGTTAGGTTGCTAAAAATTTTTTTGTTGATATGTCAGAACTCATTGTAAATTAAAGCCCTTTTAACATGGAGTCAACATTTTTTTTCTATGATTTTTTTCATCACCTTATTTTTACTAGTTTTCTTTTAAGATTTGATAAATGATTGGATAGAGATT